CWYATATATATATATTTATATATACACCTGTAGAGGATGGATATAAGTTGAAAAACTTTTGAGATTCCAATACCTTCTGAATTCCATTAATTTCAATTAAAGTAAAATCATAAATTGTTAGGAGTAAATATACGTAACTTTTCATATTCAAGCTTGGTAAATTAAAAATCGATAAGTGGGTAGAATAGTCCAAAAATATTTTTCGAAGATGCTCCCTTTATAATATAGTATAAATGTCTGATATTTTTTTGATATTTTTTTTTATAATTTTTTAATTTTTCACGATACTATGGGAATATTGATTCAGCTATATATGTTAATTATCAGTGAGCTATGACAGGCGAACTCTATGGATATATACAAGTTTACATGAAAATGTCACTACGTTGATATAAATTTATTACCTTACCTTATTTTAGGTAGTATTATCCATTTTTCTTACTAAAAAATATCCACAACTTTCTTAAATTTTAGTTTTAGGTTTGATTTGATATTCATTTTGGTTTTTTATTAAGAGAACAAACTAAGGTACGAGAGCTCCTCTCAAAAGGAGGTTGTGGTAAACGAAACGTTGTGGTTCGTCTGAGGCTTCACTTTCGTTGGTGTGGGGTGGGGAATGGATCTTGTGGAAGAGTGGAGCAAGCTCAAACTAACATCCACTAAAGAAGAGGTCTTAGTGGATGTGGATGCTGGGGCGACTTACAAATTGGTTGGCAGTTAGAAGCTTGTGTTGCAGGGAGCTGCTACTTACGAGAATTATTTCGTGTGAAGTATTGTGGAAGGTTCTCAAACCATCATTGTGGAAAGTAGAAAAAAATCTGATGATTGAAACCATTGGACGGAACATCTTTTTGTTYCGTTTTGAATCAGCAAGAGATTGTGATAGAGTTCTCAAGACAGRCCCATGGTCTTTTGATAAAGCTTTGCTGATTTTGCAGAAACCTTCGAGGTTGATAAAATCGTCACTCTTAGAGTTCAAGTTTGTGTCGTTCTGGACCCATTTTCTTGATCTTACTTTGGAATATATGAACGAGGCAATGACAACTTGGTAGGGYAATGCTATTGGGGTGTGTGAAGAAGTCAACTGTGATTAGGAAGAATTACGATGGGGAAAAGTTTGCACGTTAAAATAAAATATGATGTTACTTAGCCGATAAGAAGGGGAATAAAGATCAACATTGTTGGACAAGRGGGTGTATGTTGGAYTTTAATGAAGTATGAAAGACTCCTAGATTTCTATTATCAMTGTRGAATCATCTAACATCTGGTAAAAGACTGTACTGCTGCTGTTGAAGTTATGGARCGGAAAAAAGGCTATTTAGCACCTTACGGCCCTTGGCTCGGTTATTAGGGCTCAGTGAAAGGGAGGACTGGACACCATCATACTGGAATGTTTCAATCTGATTYTGAAGATAATTCATCAACAAGCCAAAATCAGAGCACTAAGAAGGAAGGGGTAACCAGGAAGTTAACGATAGRAAGATGGTGTTGTCGGAAGATGTGAAGGAGACGGTGGCCACGACGAAGATGATGACTGGAGAGGAGAATGTCGGCAGGCGGCCGGGGAAGGAAGCAGTTACGGAAAGTACTAAGGTATGTGACATAAATGTGATTGATACTATTCCCTTCTACGGAAGAGATTTGGAAAAAGAATTTGCTCAATCTCAGAATCTGGTGGGATCTATAGAAGGGATGRAATCTTTTTCCAAGAAAATGAATGTGCCTAAAACAGTTCAGGCGAGRGATCRGGAGAATACTACAGATGCTATTTATGGTGAATCCAAAGGAGAAATGATRGAGGTTTTTGTAGAGGAAGGTACTCATGTTGGGCCAATTATAGGTGTGGGCCCAAGCCCTACCTAGAAGGTTGTAGAAGGAAGCCCAAAACCTTTTAAACAATGGAAATGGGCCTGTGAAAAGCTTTCAGGGGGGCTTGGGATGTCTAATTTGAAGGGGCGGAAGTGGGAGGGGGATGACATGGTAGAATATAATAATGCAAAGAAGACAAAACTACTTACAGATGAAAGGTTTGAGGCGAATATTATATTGGCAGAGACTCTAATGTAGCCTTGTCAGGARCRATGAAGATTTTATGTTGGAATGTCCGAGGATTAGGGAATCCAASGACATTCAGAGATGTATGTGACGYTTTAGGTCACTTAAATCTCCATGTTCTTTTTATTTTGGAGTAAAAATGTAATTCAAGTACTTTCAATAATTTAAAAGTTCGTTTGCAGTATTAYGGGTGTTTTGTGATAGATTGTTGTGGGAAAAATGGTGGCCTAGGTTAGCTTTGGAAGGAAGGTGTTGATCTTACTATTCGTTCATATTCAAACTTCCATATTGATGCTTTAGTAAAGTGGAACGCCGCAACCTTCCGTTTCTCAGGGATTTATGGAAAACMAAAATCTCATAGCATGCATCTCATTTGGGAGCTTCTAAGACGACTGCACAATGAGGAGAATTCAGCTTGGATAATGGGGTTGATTTGAACGAAATTTTGTTTATGGAAGAGAAGGAAGGGGGCAGAGACATAATTTCACCGCTGATGAGGAATTTTTTATGGTAGATGATTGTAGGCTACAAGACCTGGGCTTTAAGGGCTCTATTTTTACACGRTGTAAYAGGAGGAGGCAGAGTGCACAAATCAGTGAGAGATTAGACCGTTTCCTCAATAATAAAGCTTTTATAAAATTTGTGGGAGAATTTCAGTGTTCACCATCAGGATTGGGCAAAGTCTGACCATAGGCCTATATTTACTTCAACTCTGTGACACTAAGATTGCACATGTTTGGCGAAATTACGCTTTCAAATTCGATGAAGTGTGGACCAAATCAGAGGAGTGTAAGAATATTATTAAAACTGTTGGTGTGCTGAATCAAAATAGCCTTGAAGGATGCCTTAAGAGTTGTGCTGAARTGTTTGGGCAGTTTAGTAAAGGGTACAACAAATCTTTCAAAAATCAAATCAAGCACATTCGTTCAGCCCTTTCCCACATCTATGCAGGTCCCCCCTTGAGATTTTGAGCAAATCAATAATTGGGAGCGAGAGTTAGAAATCTTTTGGAAGCAAAGATCCCGTGARAATTAGTTAAATTAGGAAGATAGGAATACAAAGTGGTACCACAAACGTGCAAGTATGAGGAGGCAAAAAAACTCTAATAAGGGGTATTGAGACTGAGAATAATGTGTGGACGTAGGATATGTCTAAAGTGGAGGAAAGTTTTTCGTTTATTTTGAAGACATTTTCTCCTTTTCAAAACCTAGGGAAGAGGACATGCTCAAAATTCTCCAGAATGTCCCAAGTATGGTAATTGAGGAGATGAACGCGAGGTTGCTTGCTCCTTTTAGCAGATCGRAAATTGAATATGCGCTCAAACAGTGCACTYTARAAAGCACCACGACTTGACGGATTCCCAGCGTTATTTTACCAGAAGTATTGGAGGTCAGTGGGAAATATAACGGTGGGAAACTGTCTGGACATTCTCAATCGGAAGCGCTCTATCAAAGAATGGAACTCTACTTTTATTGCTCTAATCCTGAAAGTTCYAAAGCCACGMACGGTATCAGATTACCGTCCGACCAGTCTCTGCAATGTCTCTTATAAGATCATTACGAAGGTCTTGACCAACAAATTGAAATCTGTCCTTAATGTGATTATTTCAGATAGTCAATCTGCTTTCATTCCAAGAATGGTAATTTATGATAATATTGTCATTGGTCATGAGTGTATCTACGCAATGAAGAAAAAACGTACAAGCTTGGTGGGGTTGACATCTCTAAAGCTRGACATGAGCAAGGCGTACGATCGTGTGGAATGAATTTTCATAGAGAAAATGATGTTGGCAAGGGGCTWTGATTCTCGATGGGTGGATTTAGTTATGGAGTGCATTACGTCCTACTCCTTTTTGGTACTTATAAACGACAAGGCTAAAGGCAACATAATTCCACAAAGAGGGTTAAGGCAAGGGGGCCMTTTATCCCTCTACCTTATCCTTATTTGTGCAGAGGGACTTTCTCCGACTATCCAAATAGCACATGAATCAAGCAGGATTCAGGTATTTCCTTAGCACCTTCATGCCCAACCATTTCTCATATTTTCTTTGCATACGATAACTTGATCTTCTGCAAGGCTACGATTCCTGAGCTCTATGCTTTAAAGATAATCCTACTTGATTATGAAAAGGCATCTGGACAGAAGGTTAACTTCGATAAATCAGCCTTGTGGTTTTCTACAAATGTTGGGGATTATTTCAAAAATTATATGACATCTATTTCGGGAATGAAGCTGGTCCCTCATTTAAGGGATTATCTGGGCCTCCCATCGAGCCTTTCGCATAGTGAAAGCAGTGATTTTATGAAGATCAAAGATGGAGTTTAGAAGGTGGATCAGGGTAGGAAAGCCAGTTTTTTCTCGGCTGGTGGTAAGGAGGTGCTGATTAAGAGCATAGCTSAAGCTATCCCGACATATGTTGTCGCAACGTCATCGCAACACGGAGCGATCAACGTTATCCCCTGAAGGGTCTCTTTCGAGATTAGGGTTTAGAGTCGCCACCAATCATCTACGAGGTATGATTGGTCACCTATTTTAAAAAAAACAAGATCTACAAAAAACAGATTGTTGGTTCAAGAGTCGACTGAGCGTAGGGAAGGTGTTAGCACCCTACAACACCCATTTGAAAACGGT